TTTCAAACACGAGCAGATCCCCTGATACATGGGCACCCAGGCCGTCCTCAAACTCACTGAAAAGTGGCTGTTCTGTTGTCCACAGCCTTGTACAGGGCCCTCTTTATGAGGAAGAATTCCATAAAAGGAATAGTTAGGTTCTTCCCAAGCAACCAGCTTGGTTTTAATCTCATCCATAGAGAGACTGTCCTGATTCAAATCCAGAATCCGCTTTGTCCAAAACCACACCCACAGTTTCACCCTCCTTTTCTATCCTATATTTTTGTTCGCTCTTATTTTTTCACTTCCATTTTCATTTGGTTACATGTATTTTTGGAACTGCCTTGTATCTTTCTGGAATAGTTGGACTAGAAATAAATGGTCAGACATCTAGACATCTAAAATAATTCTAAGGGGAACAAAAAGTATAGGAGGCTGTCATTCAGGACTAGAGCAGAAGACTTTCCAGGACAGAGAATATATATATACATTAAGGTTTATTTATTTGAGAGAGAGAGAGAAAGAGAGGTGGAGAGAGAGCAAGCATGCCGGGGGTGGGGGCGAGATGTAGAGGGAGAGAATCTCAAGCAGAATCCGCACTGAGTGTGGAGCCCGACACGGGGCTAAATCTCATGGCCCTGAGATGATGACCTGAGCTGAAATCAAGAGTTGGCTGCTTAACCGAGTCACCCAGGCGTCCCCAGAACAGAGATGATATTCTTAAGAAGAAAACTAACAGCCCCCAAAAGCCTGACAAGGACTCTCAGGAGTAGGGCTTTAGGGTAGAATCTAGAAAATCAACATGGCCCAAGAACACACCCCCCAGGAGGTAAGGTCTTAAGTGGGACACGCCCATTAGAATGTTGCCGGGAGAGCGTGAGCCCATGAGCTGCCATTTATCAAACATTAAAAAAAAAAAAAAAAAAAAAGTGGTTTGCCAACTCTAACATATGTGGTTAACAGAGTGAGCCAAACCAGGCACATACCCTTTGATTTCAATCGCCTCTTTCAAGGAAAATCATCCTCAGGCCCTAACAAGAAGAGTGACATGGTAATGTGGGATGTGAGGAACAAGACAGGTGAGGAGATGGCCCAAGCAGCGGGGCTCTCACACCAGTCCACATCTGTACCACCGCAGTGTTAGACTGGTGGTAAGTGGTCTTTGGGGTACATCAGTGGACAGGAGGTTCCAGTAACTGGACAGTAAGGAAAAAAAACCCCATATTTTCTAAAAGGACCATAGGAAAATTATTGATCTGTGGCCTGGAAGTGACTTCCAGTAGAATTCGGAAGCCTGCTGGGAGTCAGGAGGCTTGGCAGCACTGAGAAAAGGCAAGGTGATCACAGGGCCCAGCACGGCTTATTAAGAGCATGTCAAATGAGCTTAGGGTCTAAACTTCTTCTTTTCTAAGATTTATTTATTTGTTTGAGAGCGAGCAGGGGGAGGGGGGCGGAGAATCCTGGAGCAGACTCTGTGCTGAGTGTGGAGCCTGACGTGGGGCTCAATCCCAGGACCCCAAGGATCATGACCTGAGCTGAAACCAAGAGTTGGGCACTTAACTGACTGAGCCACACAGGTGCCCCCAAACTTTTTATTATAAAAGTAACACTTGCCAACATACAGAAATGAGATACTGCAAAGAAGGAAATAAGAAGAAAAGAGCAGGAAAGTCTGGTGAAAACCACTGTAAACACCTTGGTGGGTACCTTTCCAGACCTTTGGATTTTTTATTTACGGTGGTGGGGGAGAAAGAGAGAGAGAACATGTGTGCAAGCAGGGGGAAGAGCAGAGGGACAGGGAGAATCTTAAGCAGACTCTACACTGAGCACAGATCCTGACGTGGGGCTTGATCCCACAACCCTCGGATCACGACCTAAGTGGAAATCAAGAGTCGGGCGCTTAACCGACTGAGCCGCCCAGGTGTTCCTGGATATTTTTTTAAATGCGAACACATTGCCCATTCTGGTTGTCACTTAACAACATTCACCCACACCTTTTTATCCAAATCATTATTTTTTGATGCCTAAAGAGTTAAGGCATCAAATGTAAGGATGTTTCATAATTTAACCCTTTGCTTTTGTTTTGGGCATTTAGGAGACCCACCCCCAAACCCCTTCTCTGCGTATTATTTTTAAGCAGCGGCAGTGCTCATCCCTGATGGTAAATCCTTCTGTACACCTCTAAGTATTTTTCAGAAGAAATTCTTACTGGCGGACACGTGAGGATCAAAGGTGGGCTTTGTGGCGGTGTGATGAGGGTACAAGATGGCACAGCAAGGGACATGAGCTTCTCAGGATTTCAGCACCGAGTTAGCAGAAGCCCCTCACCCCACTTGTGTGGGCGAGAGAGAGCTGTTGGCTGAACAGTTGGCACGTTTTGGCCGATGGACGCATCTGTACCCCAAATGGCTGGACGGGTATGAACATGAGCTCAGCTGGACAAGGGAGGACCTCGCAGAGATGGAACAGGCCGGTCGGACGTGGTGGTCCCAGACATCGGAGGTACTGGAGCAGCACCTCAGGATGATCACCTGCCCCAGAGGTCATAGAGGGTATTCCTGGGCAGCGCAGACTCTGGGCTAAAGGCTCTCCTTCCTCCTTCCCATAAACAGCTCACGAGCACCTCTGTGTCTCCTCCCCTTACTTCAGCAACTCTGAGCACTGCCTCTCCCTCTGGAGGCCTCCGTGAGAGGGACAGGAGAGGGGCTAGACTAACGGGTATGCCTTTGAGAAAACATCGAAAAGTAAATATTACTTTAATAACCACACATACAAGTTAAACGTGGGCTGCTCGCTTTTCAAACTGCATAGTTTGGAAATCTACTTCTCTTCGGAAGGGCCTGCCCGTGAAGGGAGCCGTCATTAAGTGTTTCCAGGAACGAACCAGAGCATACCAGGAGTCTGCACCAAAGGCTCAGCCCCGAAGCCTGCGGTGGACGGAGCCAGAGCCGGTTCGCAACAGTCTGAAGCTTCGTTCCATTAGCAGCAGAGTTCCAGCTACCGTGCATCCGGCACTGGGCAAGGGCGAGGGCCTGGGGCACACTTCTGCCTTGACTGTTTTTGGAATAAACCACTTGAAACCTTAACTCTGCAACCCCAAATTGAGACGTGCTACTCCGTGCCAAACGCTGTTCATGGGGGGGGGCGCGGGGCGGGGGGGAAGAGGTGGTCTCTGTTCCCTTCTACCAGAACAGCTCGCAGGCAGGCTGCCGGTGGGGGTGGGGGCGGGGAGGCTTCCCAGCTGCACCATGGTTGCCCAGTGCTGAGCTTGCAGGCCTTATGGAGCCAGCGGGCCCTGCGGGCTCTTTCTGGCAGCCTTCCCACAAAGCAGTCTTGGACCCTGGTGGAACAATTTGGTGCCTGCAGCCGCTGAGGAGCTGGAGGCTGCCTGCTGCCAGGCGGGGCGGGGGGGGGGGGGGGAGGGCAGCCTCCACTACCTCTGTTTGGAAGATAAAATCCGACCAACTGCCACTTACATAAATGTAACAGGAAGTTTCTGAATGGCTTCCCCTGTGTCTTGAGGCTGTTACCTTGGTGTTGCTAAACTCACAGCTGAAATGAACCCAGACAACACCTCATCAAAGCTGCTGGGCGAGGAAGCAGTGGTCCACAGGCAGACAGGAACATTCCTGCCAAACCAGAGGAGATTTCGCTCTGTGGGCCCTTTTCTGCAGAAATGTCAACAGCTGGTAAAGGCATCAGAAAATCCAGGTAAGGCGGGGGGAGCTGAACACCATGGCCGGAAAAAGGTTTGCAAGCTGGAGGGAAAAAGGCATCTCCTTTGACTGAGCTTTCCAACTGCGCATTCGGAACGGGGCCACCCTGCTGGGTTTCGCAGACCTGTTTTGCGCCACTATGCCACGCGGCATCTGGGGAAATAGTCAGCTTTTGTACAAAATAGGTCATCTTTCCACACTTGTTATGCTCCTTGTCTACTTTGCTGAAATAGCCACAGCACAAAAGAAATTCTCCCTGGAGGTGCTTTTCTGAGACAACACGCTCCCTCTGCCCCTTCGGGAGCCAGGCTCCTGGAGGGGGGACCGGGGGCCAGGGCTTTAAGACGTCCTGGGTCTTCCCTTTCCCCCACCCAGAAATGGAAAAACTGGCTTTTGCTTACACTTCCAAACCTATTAGGGAGTGATCATAACAAGAGAAACTGATACTGACATGAATTATACCGTTGTTCTATTTCATCTATTTAGTAACCCCAAGTTGCAATTTTTAGAAAAAAGATTACCTTTTAAATAACGGATTCATTATGGTACATGAATGAGTGCCATGTTCCCGTGTTCAAAACGTCACTCACCATTAAGGGTGTGCGCTGGTAAGGGCACCAATTTGCCACTTCCCCCTTAGCTACAAACACCCCCGACCGGAGGCTGAGGATAATCGGAGGTGAGCTTGTGGGTTTCCCCGGCTCTTAGCTGCTAGGCACCTAATGAATCTCCACTCTGCAATCAGGCCTATAAGCGCTCCCTCCCTGGGTGAAGGTGGAAAGGCAAACTCGCACTGCTGAGGTCCCTGCCAAGGTACCACCATCCATTTCAAGGCCGAGTTCAGAAATCACAGACCCTTACGATGGGGGCGGGAGGGGAGACCGCCCGCGTCCCTTCTGGCCACAAACCTGGCTTTGGGAAATGAGAGGTGAGGACAGACCTGGACACAGGCTGGTGAGCGGGCTGGGCCTCAGCTCTGCTGCTCCCGAGACCCCATGGGAAACCCGCCCTGGCTCTGGCAGGTGAACAATGCAGTGACTATTCTCTGGAAACCTCCCTTCAAGCTCGTGAAATCCACACATTGTTTTTCATCATTAGTTTCAAAATGCGCTGAGTATCTAGCCCTTCTTTAAGTGCTGAGGTGACACAAAGGAAGGAAAGGGCTGATCTCTGCAGGGGACAGGCCCCTCGCAGGGTGAAAAAGAGACATAAGACAGATGCCATTCGAAGCCAGGAGACACGCCGAGGGAGGTGGTGCCCGGGACACAGACGCGGTAGCTGGCCATGAGCAGAGGCCCCACATACCTGATATGGCATACAGATTGGAGTGCTGGTACTCATAGTCGGCCCGAGTGCTGTTCCTCCCTCGGAAGGTAGCAGGGAGCGTTAGTGAGATGTGCCTAAGAGAGAGACAGAGGAGAAAGTAGGTTACAGGGCACACAGAGCACTCCCCAAGGCTCCGAAAGCACCCGCACCACCAACAGACACTGCAGCACAGAGCAGGGGCGCCCTGGTGAGCGGGGGGCCCCCAACAGCTCGAATCCCCCCAAGGAATTCAGAAGTTTCCCGACATAAGCAACCACCTTCTGCAATTCCAAGAGGAACATTCAAGCGGAAGAAAGGGGTTCCCCAAGCCTCATGGCATGTGCGACGCGCTTCAAGGAGGTCGGCAACTTAGTCTAGATCTCTGCCCACTGGGCAAAATACGCCAGCAGGAGCAGAACATGTGGGCCCTGAACAGGAGCCCTGGTGTGTTCCGCCGTCTTGCTTCCATTTTCCATCCGATGGCTTTCATTCCTGTCTCGCAGGGCCGCTGAAAACAGCGCAAGAAGCACTTTGTGAGTGAAGGTGTTGAGTATCATTACTCCCACGTGAGTCCAGGGAAACGAACAACCACTGAGAATCAGAATGGCATGCTCTTCTGAATTGCTACGTGTGCATGTTCGTCCTCTGGCAAGAGCACACAGTAGGTGCTCAGGAAATCACCTTTGATCGATCCAGCACGGTCTTTTTATGGCACAGGTGCTGGTCATTAAAGCTCACCGTGCCCACAGAGCCTGAGTATTCAAAATAAAAAATCCATTTGGTGTGGTCATCAGCTGCCTTTAGCAAATGCAAAAAAGATTAAAATGATAGGAAATATATTTCAAACCCAACAGGTCTGAGGGATAAAACAACAATAAGGCCTCTTACTGGTAGGACTGGGGATTGGTTTGAACTAGCTCGGTAGCCTGAGTTTTGGCCGCACTCAGTCATTTCCAAAAGGGAAAAGACCGAGGAAGGGAGCACTTGTTACAAGTTTTATGTTGTACACGCTGCCTTTTTTACACAACAAGTGCATGACCTCTAGGAATGACTCTTGTACATACAAGGCTCCCGGGAGGGAAGGTTCTCTAGACAAGACCTGTTCCCACAGAGTCTCTCGGCAACAAGATGAGCACCAAAGGCTGTAAAGGCATTTGGTTTGCTGGGCTGCAGCGTGAGCACTGAGGCAAACACCTGTGCGACGAACAGCCTGGCTCAACCGGGTGGCCAGTGGGGGGCGGCTTGCCAAGCACTGGCTGGACTCAGGGCTGGGGGGAGGGGGCACCAGCAGACCCAAGCACAGGGAGACTCTGACATGTGTGGAGTGAATCTGAGTGTCTGCTCATTACTGATGCTAATGAAGGATGCAGAGATGAGCTCCCTGAAGGAGCTCCCAGGCTACAGGGGATCGAGGTGTAGAAATAAACCACCAGATGCAACAGCACATGCGCCTGGGTGCTGAGTGAGCACAAGAGTTCCGATAAGGGGGCCAGGGTTCTAGGGACACCTTCTCAGAGGAGGACACAGGTACTGATGGAGTAAAAGGGACTCACTGGGTGGTCAGGGAAAGCCAACAGTCTGGCGTAGGGTCAGGGTACGAGTGGCAGCGAGGCTGGAAAGGCAGGCTGAGGCCAGGTTGGAACGGACAACCACCACTGCCAAGCTGCAAGACTTGATCCCCTAGGACGAGGGTTCCTAACTCTGTCCCGCCCATATCACAGCGCAAACGAGGGCACAGCGCAATACGGAGTCAGAGCCACGACCCTGGGGAGTCCGGGTCAGTGGGCCTGGGGTGTGGCCAGAAATCTGTCTTTAACAAGCTCCAGCGGTGACTCTGAAGGCTGGCCAGGTTTGGGACCCTGAGAGGATAAGGAGCAGCTGCAGAAGGGTTTTACACAGTTGATCAACGCCTCTGACCACAGCACTTAGTCAATGAAGCTGAGCAAACAGAAGAATGAATTATTGACTGTGGTTGAGCAGAACTAAAATGATGACAGGTAACCCCGCAGAGGATGCCCGCCGTGTGCCAGGCCTCAGGGGAGGCAGAGCTCACACAGTCTCATCTGGCTCCTCGCGCTGCCCCTACAAGACAAGTGCAGGGCCCAGTGCAAACTGAGAACACGAGGCCCTGGTTCAGTCAGAATTTCGAGATGCTGACACAGAGCAGTATGCCGAACGTGGGGCCTTCGGAGCCTGGGGCCTAGAGGGCCGGCGCTGGCTGCACATCCATGAAGCTGGCTGAGGGGGGCGCTGTTATTGCATCCACCATTCCACAGTGAGGGAATTTCCAGAAGCCAGGGAAGAACTATGCTGCAGGGCTGCCATACCTTGAGATTTCTAAGTCTTGAAAGCACTTTCCAAAGGTGCATCCAACCAAACTAAGGGCATCACACATCTGTGCAGTGCGGTGGCCCCTCCAGGGGCTGGAGGCATTCAGGAAGGCTCATGGACAAGGTGGGTGTTAGAGGAACTTTGGAAGACAGGCAGACCTGGGGGGCAGCAAAGATGCCAAGCAGAAGCCAGAAGAGAAAACAGGGTCGGCCCAGCCGTGCAGTGGTTAAAGAGGGGCTGAGAGTCTGGCAGGAGAAAATGCAGATGGGGCCTCAGGGTGGCAGGACAGCAGGGCCCCTATGTGCACCGAGCTCGCCCTGCAGCCGGGCGGCGGGGCAGGGGGGAGGGCATGAAAATACCCACAAAGTTACAGGAACACCTGCTTACAAATGGGAAAGTAGAAGTGCTGTGTGTGGGGGAAGTGAGGACCGCCAGGCAGGGAGGATGGGGAGCAGGGCTCCAGACTCTGTAGCGAGCCTCCTACATGGCAGGAAGTGTGGTGGAGGGAGGACCTGGAAGGAAGCTGGAGTGGCCGGAGCCTGAAGGCCAGGAGAGGGTGTGGGACCAGGCAGAAGAGGGATGCAAGGCCACACCACAGCGGGGCCCTGCATGAGCTCAGACTTGATCTAGAAGGATTAAGCAGAGATGTGAGAAGATCCAATTTGCAATTTTAAAAGATTGCCTGCGTGTGGGAAAGTGAGGAAATAAAACAGCGATGCCATGGTAGACCGGAATGGAGCAGCAAATTACAGTGGGGATTCTCGTGAAACTGCAATTATTGAGCACTTACTGTGTGTAGACCCTTCACAGTTCCTGCCAAAGTGTCCTGCTGCAAGCTTCTGAACAGTTTGGGGGAAATTCTATGGTACACAGGACTTAAAAATGAAGGATATACCAGAGAAACCAAGGTGCCTGGCTCCTTAGCTGCCTGCCCAACGTGGACTCCCTGGTCTCAACTTTTCCTGCTTCTCTGGGACATCCGATTGTGCCTGGCAAACACGATCCGAAACCCTCCCTCCCTTGGCCAGCCTCTCTTCTTTGCAGATGGTCCTTTCTGGCCCCTCCTCCAACTTTTTAAAAGTTGCTGTTTGTACGGGTTCTGCTTGAGCTCTCTCATTCCACATGCCTTCCCAAGGCAACCTCATCCCCAGCCATTCCCTGACGTTAACTGTCCTCACACACCAGCCCACCTTTCCTGACTCTGTCTCTTGCACTGCTTACTTCTCTCTCTACCCGGAAGAGGGAAAGTCCTGTAAATCTCTGAATATGCCATGTACTGTTCATGCCTTAGCCTGACTCTTTATCCAGGCTGCTCCCCTTCCTAGAATCTCCATTTCTTCCTTACCTACACTCCAAACTCCTATTCATCCCTCAAGACCCCACCTAAGCATACCTTCTTTGGTGGAACCTTCCCTGGGCTTGTTCCAGGCTCACTGCATGCCTGCATGTCCCCTCTCTCCGGTTTGCACAAAATACTTGAAGCATTTGATACAAGCCTGTCTTCCTAACATGACTGTGACCTCCTCAAGAACAGGGCCAAAGCTCATCAATTTTGGACCCCATTTTCTAGGACAATTTTTGACCTGGAGTAGACAATAACTGGACACGTGTTGACCAAATCAGGTGTTGTACCTACTCCATCAAGACCTCTGGATCTTTTTGATATAAACTGCCAGAGTGTCTATGACTCCATTTCTGCCCATGTGTGTTTTTGCCAATCAGACTCAAGTGGTCTCTGTATTATACCAGGCATCCCACTCCTCTCTGCTCTGGAAGAAAACGGGTATGATGTAAGAAGGAACCAGTGGTGGTGACTGGGAATTTACGGGAGGTGGTGGGGGTGGGTGGGAGAGAGAAAAAGAAAGTTTCTCATCTCCTCCTACAGACAATGTGTGGTTGATAAGAGCACATGTGAAATTAACAGCATTCGAGTCGCAGACCTGACTGTATCTTAGACAGAGTCATTGCTCAACAGGAATGGGGTGAGCTGAAATGAAGTCACCCTGAACTCCAGCTCTAGCTGCTGCTGTAGGAGGGTATGAGGCAGCATCCAGAGAGAAGAGAAGCCCCCGACCAGGGACAGCTTTAGGGAGAAAAGTTCACTACGCTGCAAAGAGCTGCTTTTCACTTCATTGTTCAGACACAGGAAGGAGGGGATGTGGGGATGGGAGGACGAAAAGGCACAGCAAAGCCTCCCATAATGAGAATGGACAGTTGGGGCCGAGGGGACAGATAACCTGTGGTTAAAGAGGAAGAGCAAGTCACCTGGTGAAGGAGAAGCGGCCCAGGGGCACTGCAGCGTCAGATTAGCCTGAAAATGACAGACGACAGGAACCAGGGAGGCTCTGCAATCAGCAGAGCCTCAGAGTAAAGGCGATTCTAGTTCCCCGGGCGGGGGGAGGGGTGGACGCCGTGCCAGGCACTGGTCTGGGTTCCTTCATGTACACCCCTCACCTCATCCTCTCGGCAACCTTTTCCGATAGGAACAGTTAACTCCATTTGATAGAACAGGGAACAGGGGCCTTCAGAAGTAAAGCTGACAAACAGAAAGCTGCGTCCACGTGTCCTCCGGGGGTTATTATATTATCCAGAAGTTACCCTGTTGTATCATCTGGACTCTCAGGTATACAGAGTGAGGACTGCATGGTCCATCCCGAGACCCTTTTGAAAGTGATGATGCCAAGGACTCAGCATCTCGGTCACTTACTAGCTTGATGACCCCGGCAGGCAGGCCACAGTCCCTCTGGTATCACGTCACGAAGGG